AATTTTTTCATCTCCATTGTATCATTTCCTGTCAAATTATATCATCCACATAGACAATAAGAATTGTACTCTTACCATCTTTGTGTCGATAAAAGAGGGTATGGTCGATATGAGCTTGTTTATACCTTTGTTTTAAGACCGCCTTTGTGAATCTGCCAAACCAAGCCCTTAGGGATTGCTTCAAACCATAGAGTGCCATTTTTAGTCTGCAAACTTTCCCATTTTTCCCATCTTTGTCGAATCCTGGTGGAAGATCCATGTAGAATTCCTCTTCCAAATCGCCGTTGAGGAAGGCATTTTTTACGTCTGTTGTAGATCCCAATCCAGGTTAGTCGCGAGATAGAAGTACTCTGAATGTATTGAGCTTGGAAACAGGGGCAAAAGTCTCGTTGTAATCAATACCATATGTTTGAGTAAAGCCCTTTGCAATCAGTCATGCTTTGTATCTCTCAATCGTCCTACTAGATCGATACTTAAAACACCCATTTGCACCCCACTAAAGCTTTCCCTTCAAGTTTCTCTACGAGACTCCAAGTTTGATTCTTTTCAAGAGCTTGTATTTCCTCTGTAACTACCTTTTTCCATTCAGGATTCCTCAAAGCCTCCTGTATATCTTTAGGAATCTTCTCTTCTGACAGGTTAGTAATAAAAGCTTGGAGGGAAGGTGAATAATGACTGTAGGAAACATAATTGGAAATGGGATGCTGAGTAGAAGAACGAATTATATTTTCTCAAAGCAATAGGATAGTCAAGGTCACTAACCTCAGGTGATGAATTCGGTTCTGATTCATGGAAAGGTTGTAGGTCCACATCGTTCTGTATTCTTTGTGAGGCTTTTCTCCGAGAATAAACACGTAACTCAGGTTGCTATTGTGAATCTCCTAATTTCCTAGAGTTGTTAATGTTCATGGTAGACTCCAGGTCATTTGTGGCTGGTGTGGGTTCTTGGAGTAGCAAAGGGAGAACATATAAGTATGCTCTACGGTGCAGTTGTATAAGGTATGTAGTATGATTATTGATGTGGGTAGTTGCACCAATGTTGCTAGTACAATACTTGTTGAAAAATTGGGATTAACTATGCTAAAACATCCTAGGCCTTACAAATTGCAATGGTTGAATGAATGTGGAGAGTGTTGGTGAGTTTCTCAATTTGGAGGTATCAAGACGAATGATGTGCGATGTAGTTCATATGCATGCCGGATATATTTTGTTGGGGAGGCCATGGCAATATAATAAGAAGGTGGTTCATGACTGGTACAAAAAAAAAAGGTACAATTGTACTAAGGATGAGAATTCTATGACTCTTACACCGTTGACACCATAACAAATGTATGAAGATCAATTCAAATTGAAAAGTGAGGAATAAAAAAGATTGAGAGAAATGGAGTGAGATTTACCCTTTACAATAAGAGAGTAAGAGAGAAAATAGTGAGGTGGCTAAAAGTGAGAAAAAAGAGTATGGCCACAAAAAAGGAAAGAAAAAGAGTCTTGTGAGATGAGAGAAAAGTCGAAAGTGAATTTCTTTGTAGAGAAGAGTGAGTTGAAAAGGGAAGTAGTTGAGAACTAACATATGATCTTGTTGGTTTATAAAGAGTCATTCATCAATCTTGAAGATCTAATACACCACTCCCTAGTTTGGCTACTTCTTTGTTGTAGAAATTCGAAGATGTGTTTCCAAAGGACATGCCTGGTGGACTACCACCCATTTGAGGCATTGAACATCAAATTGACTTTGTACCTGGAGTTGCATTCATAACAGGCTATCTTATTGGAATAATTCGGAGAAGACTAAGAAACTTCAAAGGCAAGTGAAAGATTTGATGAGCAAAGGATATGTGAGGGAGAGTGAGTCCATGTGTCGTGCTAGTGCTACTTATGCCAAAGAAAGATGGAACTTGGAGGATGTGTGTCGACTGCAGGGCCATCAACAATATAACGGTCAAGTATCGTCACCATATTCCTAGGTTAAATGATATGTTACACGAATTACATGGATCATACATATTTAGTAAAATTGATCTTAAAAGTGGTTATCATCGGATTAGGATGAGGGAAAGAGATGAATGAAAAACCACTTTTAAAATTAAATATGAGTTGTATGAGTTGCTTATCATGCCATTTGGACTTGTTAATATACCTAGTATATTTATGAGATTAATGAATCATGTTTTATATGCATTCATAGGTAAATTCGTAGTAGTATACTTTAATGACATCTTGGTTTATAGTAAGGATCTAAATGAACATATAGGGCATTTACGATGTGTGCTTGTGGTCTTAAGGCAAGAACAACTTTATGCTAACTTTAAAAGTGCACATTTTGTATAGAAAATGTTGTTTTTCTTGGTTTTGTCATTAATACTAAGTATATTGAAGTGGATGAGGTGAAAATCAAAGTCATCAAAGAATAGCCAACACCTAAAAACATAACCGACCATGAGTCATTGAAGCATTTAAGGGGTCAAGACAAGCTAAATAAGAGACATGCAAGGTAGATGGAGTTCATCGAGACATTTCCATATGTTATTTGGTACGTGGTAGCGGATGTTTTATCAAGGAGGTATGTACTTCTAACGTCTTTAGGTGCTAAATTGCTAAGATTTGAATATGTTAAAGACATGTATGCTAATGATCCATATTTCTCTAATATATACGAATCATATGATAAGGGTGCTACGGATAGATTTTTTAGGCATAATGGGTATTTATTTCGGAAAAATAAGTTATGTGTTCCTAAGTGTTCAATGAGGAAATTATTAGTACGTGAAGCATATGGTGGAAGTCTAATGGGTCAATTTGGGGTTAAGAAGACCTTGGAGATGTTTGGTGAACATTTTTATTGGCCTAAGATGAAAGTTGATGTTGATCGGGTTTGTAGTAGATGCATCACCTGCAAAAAGTCTAAATCTATGGTTCTACCTTAGGGTTTATATACGCCATTGCCTATTCATAGTGAACCTTGGGTTGATGTGTCAATGGATTTTGTGTTGGGTTTACCTAGGACTAAGAAAGGAAGGGATTCTATATTTGTGGTGGTAGGTATATTTAGTAAGATTGCTCATTTAATTCCATGTCATAAAATTGATGATGCCACCAATATTGCGGATCTGTTCTTTAAGGAAGTAGTGCGCTTAAATGGAATACCTAGAAGCATTGTATCGAATAGGAATGTTAAATTCCTTAGTCACTTTTGGAGGATTCTGTAGATAAGTTAGTAACCAGCTATTGTTTTCTACTACTTGTCACTCGCAAATGGATGGGCAAATTGAGGTCCTTAATAGGACAATGATACAATTGTTACGCACTATAGTTAATAAAAATTTAAAGAGTTGGGAGGAGTGTTTACCATTTATAGAATTTGTATATAATAGAACCAGCATTATACTATTTCTTACTCGCCTTTTGAAATTGTATATGGTTTTAATCCACTAACACCTTTGAATTTAATTCATTTACCTGTGAAAGGAAGAGATAGTTTAGATGGGAAGAAGAATGCCGACTTGGTAAAATCACTCCATGAAAAGGTAAGGTTGCAAATAGAGAAGAAAAATAAGTATTGTACCTCTCAAGTAGACAAATGGCGAAAACGCGTTACATTTAAACCAGGAGATTGGGTTTGGGTAAACTTAAGGAAATAGCATTTTCCAAAACAAAGAAAGTCGAAGGTGCAACCACGGGGAGATGGTCTATTCCAAGTCCTTGAAAAGACCAATAACAATGCCTCCAAATTAGATCTTCCAGGTGAGTATAATGTTTCGGCTTCCTTTAATGCCTTTGATCTTTCTTTCTTTCTTTGATGCAAGTACAGATTGGAGGTTGAATCCTTTTGAAGATGGAGGGAATGATGTGATCCATGATTCGAGAGCAAGTCAAGGCAAGAATTCATTGATCGTTGAGGGAGGACCGATGACTAAGTCACGAGCGAAGCGAGTCAAGGAAGCTATGAGATTGCTTGCTCAAGTCACGGTGGATGAAACATTAATCACGGCAAGGAACGGGACAAGCTTCATGTTTGGCTTGGAAGAAGAAACAAGATGAATCAACTTGGTTTAAGCACCAGACAAGAGAGTTGAAAGGTGAAGCTATGCGACCGCATAGCAATGCTATGCATGCAATTGCATGCATCCATACAGTGACAAGAGGGAGGCAGCCTACTAGCCTATGCGACCACATGTAACAAACCTATGCATCCGCATAATCCTAATTGGGATGCGATTTTTCCAAATTTCGCTCAATCTTTCATTTGAGTTAAAACTCTATTTTGTGATATCTTTTTGTTATTTTTTTGGCTTAATTTCGTTTCTAGCTAGGTTTTATGAATTCCATATAAATAGGACTCATTATATTCATTCTAATAAAAAAAAAAAAGACAAATATTGCTTTCTATTTGTTCTTCAATCAATTAATTTTGAACTCATTAAGTTTATTTCTTGTGGCGTTCAAACAATTCGAGTAAGATTCTTGAATTTTGTAAGCACGGGATCAACATATTGTCGGCAATTGTGCTGGCTCCTTTGTCCAATATTTTAGAATTAAGCTTAAATGTTGATTTCTTGACTTTCTTGGATTGAATCAATCATGTGCGAGTTTTGATAACTGTTATTGTTACGTGGGTTCGCATCATAACATATGCAACACTGAAGACTCAAAAAGATATATATCAACTACAGAGACCATGTCAATACTTGTTAAAAGTGAATCAAACTCGAAGAATAGTATGACAATGAAGACTTGAACATTGATTGCAATGCATTCAAAATAGAGTTGAAATTCAAAGTCTCCAAATTGCCATCTTTGATATCTTTTTCAGCTGATATGCAATGACAAAATCGATATTACTCCAAAAGTAATAGAATTAATAGGAGTATAAGAACAACATTGTAACTATGAATGGTATTGATCAAGCTAAATGAAAAACTACAAAGACATAAGAGTTTGAAATCTTTTTCAATATTTCCAACTTTCAACAAATAAATCTCAATCAGAAACCATACAGTATCCTACTCGTCATCAATAGTGATCACTTGACGTTCAGCTCTACTCTTATTTATCACTTCTAGCACATCTGGTGGAATTGCACATCTTAGAAATTGAACTTTAAACATTACTTTTACAAAGCTGATTTCCAAGAGCTCAAAAATTAGTGCATCACCAACCACTAAATTGTTATCATCCACGAACTTTCTCCAAGTCGAATCAAAGCCTTTTGGTGTAGTATCCCCACATAATTTTACCTCCCATGTTTTGCCAAAGCATTTTATGATCGCTGGAACTGTTGTAGAAGGCAGTCTAGAATCCAAACTCGGTGGAAAGCTCTGCAAGCATAAAGTAAACAAACACAAAATCAGCTCCTAATTTTGTAAAATGAGCAAACCTCCGTACAAGGGATGATTACCACACTTTAACAGTGCATTAGTATTTCACCAGTACAAATAACTACTTTATACCTGTATATAATAATCAACCTTCACCATTTTCAAATATGGTAATAAGGCAAGTGCAAGAGAACAACATATTTGAAACAATATATATATTAAAAACAAAAACAAATTACCATTTGATATGTAGGTCCCACGTGAGCTTTTGAGAGCTGCAAGTGATAAAAGGGAAGCTCCAAAAGAGGTGTAATTCCTTCCTCGTCCAGATGAGTTGTATCAGGGATGCTCAACATAGGCTCGGGCTTTGATGTGCCTTCAACCTTCTGAAACAGATTACAGAGAGATGCTATGAGAGTTTTTAATTAGAAGCATATGGTGTACCCTACCTAGCTATGAATCAAAGTTAAGAAGCAAACACTGAAAATCAGCAAGGGAAGAGAAGAGGTAAAATGTCCAATAATTGGGTTTCTTCTTTGGGTTCTCCTCGTTGCAGCTCCATTTTCCAAATCAAACAAGTAGCCCCTATAGCTCTTGTGTGTATTAGTCTTCTAAACTGTCACAAATCAACTCCTGGCTTCTATTATCAGCATTGGCTTAATTACATTATTAAAATAAAAAATAAAATTTTACGTTACGATTTACGATTATAGAGTTTCTTCATTTATTAAATCAACTTGTCTTTATTAACAAATATGGCATCAAAGAAGGATGCCTGAAATGATGAGTTCTTCAACACTTCTCTGCATTGTTAATTTGAGATATTGTCCTTAAACCAGAAGAAAATATTAAGCAACCATAGAACTAGGTAATGCAAGTGAACTAGCTTAGGAAGGAACTTAAAAACAAACTATAAGGGTAAATACGCAAAATGAAATGTAGCTTTTGATGTTAGAAAAGAAAAGATAATGAAAAGAGCAGGGAAAACATATAAGAGAAGACGACTTAGTTCAGGACACATAAACCTAAAGAAAGTTCATGCTAGTGATAAAATGTTGGTAGAATAGGTTAATTAGTCAGGACATATAAACCTAAAGACATAAAACTAACACGGTCCAGTTGGTTCTTCTCACAAAAAAAGCAATAAATCAAATGTAGAGCGCAAATAATATATAACCGACTCAAACATATGGGACATAAGAAATTGTTCTTTATAATAGGATCCTTTCACAAATCTTACTAACATTATCACAGATGATCAGGTGAGCATTTCTAGTTTCATATTTATTTAACACTTCAAAATTATTATTTACATACAGAAGAAACATGTTACTACTTCTCTTTATAAGCATCTTAAAAAGACGTTCGATCAAATATGGCCAATAGATTATCCTTCCAAGAAGTCAAAATCTTTACCCCATAAAAGTAGAAGTGTTAAGCGAAATTGTAAGAAATTTGAAGTATTTAAGTAAACAAATACAATCAACTTCTAAGTTTGAATGAACTTCTTAAAACAAGGAACCCTCCGTTATGTAAAATAGCTTCAAAGTTTATTCTATATATGTATTAGCTGCCTAAAAATGTTGCTTCTCACAGATGATTACTACTCTATTAAGACCTATCATATAAATACCTAAAAAACTTCGTCATGAGGAAAAAAAAGAAAAAAAGAAATTAAGGTAAGCAACTTTCAAAGGTTGCATCGTAAATAGCAACATTTAGAGAAGATGATTGACTACCTTAAACAAACAAGATCATTTTGTTTATTCCAATATCACATATCATACTAAAACATTTTCTAAAATGGAAATAAATTTCAAAATCTAAACTTTGAGGTAACTAATTACCAAGAGATGCGTAGGTTCGATGTTAGATTTTGAGTGCAAGAAGTCATCAGAGGGTTTCTCCACGAGAGGTGTACTTCCATGCTCGATTAAAGAAGTTGAAAAAGAGCTTAGCATAGGTTCCGGCCTTGGAGCATCATCAACCTTCTGTGCAGCAGTATTCGAGGCATCCATCTGAACAATATAACAAAAAGCTTTATAAAATTAAGAGAAAAAGTTAAAATTTTCGGTGAAGAGTGGAAAACAGCATGATTATTTATGTTCATATGCCTCGAATGTCACAACACTATATTTGCATGGTTTACAAGTGGATAAAGAAGGAACAATGAGCTGAATTGATTATATGAACTTAAAGCCACTACCTAAGGAAGGTAGTTATTGAGGAGCTATGATGCATTGATACCAGGAACTTGCCAGACATGCCGACGCGCGATTTTTCAAAAAAGTATGAAAATTCATTTAATAAAGTATCACATTTAATTTTATACTTATTATTGATTTATCTTGTTGAAATTTTTGTAAACAAGAGTATCTATTTGTTATATTATAAGAACTTTGAGTTAAAAATATATATTACTATAAAGAAGAAAAAATGACTATGGTAGAGTGACCAAAAAGTGTCGGTGCGTGACATGACATTATCTGACATGAACATGTCACCCTAATTAATGTATCCGTGCAACGCAGCTGAGGAGTGGTGCACCTAAGGAGAAGGTTTTCGATACTCCAAAAGCTTGTGGATGATTTAAGTCATTAATTCTTTCAGAAACCTCAAGATGTCAGAAAGATGATGAAATGCTTAAAAAATATTGATGATGTAAATGTTCTATATGAGATTAATTTTACCTTAAATTAAAAGGAAGATGAAAAGGAAATTAAAGATTTGGATCGAGCAGAGTGTGGATGCATCTCTTGTGGATAATTTAAGTCATTAGTTCAATGGCTTTGTATTTGTATTTCTATGTGAATTATCTATGTTTTAATCAATGGAGAATTCCTTCTGAATTCACTGGTTTATCAGTAGATTATTTATCAATACAAATACATTTTTGTAGACAATGACATGTTGGACATCAAATGTAAGATGCTCTAGGCATTTACACGTGATCTCTCTCATTCACTACAAACTAGTGATTGAGGTAATTATGAAATATCAGCTCTGTCTTTAAAAAATAAATAAATCATATTTTCACATTCAAGTTTCCTAAATTACCTTCTCTAAAACTTTGGAGCACAATATTTTATTCCTTGAAGTTTACCTGCAACTCCTTATGTAGAATGTCCCAAGCTTCCTTAGCTGTTTTTGCATTGAGAAACATACGAAAGAATATCGATGAAACACCTCGTTGAATAATAGAAAGAGCCTTGGCATCATTTCTTCTATGTTCCCTTAATTTTTGCTTCTGTTCCGCAGTCAGCATCGCAGTCGGGTTGGGTGCTTCATACCCTTCTTCTACATATTCCCACAAATCTTCTGATATCAAAACTGTTCTCATTTTGACTGACCACTGATCAAAATTTTCTCCAGAGAACATTGGAATATAAATATCCTTGCTTGCACTGGACATCCTTCTCAAATGAACGGTTACTTTTAGCTTTTATTAGCTGTTGTGAGTAGCCTTCTACCCAAGTTCACACTGCTACAAAAACATTACAAAGAAGACCAAATAGGTTGAAAATATGCAGACAAGGGATCAATAACTCATCTTAATTTTAGATTTTTGTAAGTCCACAATTACTAAGATTTTCTCTCCTTCGTGTCTTAGTTACCTATAGCATGCAAAACTGGAAATTTCAGAAAAATAGTAAACAATAAGTTCAACATTATAACGTTGAAATAAGAAATTGATAATTAATGAAAATCAAACTGGATTTATCCATTAATGTCAAAAATCACCCTTTATTTCATGAAAATCAACTGAATATATTTTTTTTCTTTTTATAAGAGATGATGTAAGCATGTGTACACGAGAGAAAACCTATCTATCTGTTCAAAGCCACACAGAATTGTAACAATTGATCGAAACTCAAATCAAGAGAAAATCACATTCATCATTCACAACAGTCAGATCGAATGTGATTTCAACATATAAAGCCCGTTTTACACTAATAAAAATCCTATACTACCTTCCAACTTTGTTTATGAAGAAGTCGAGAGTAGAAATCACTGCCGCACAAGATGAATTGGTGCCAAGGGATGATGAATGTGTCCCCCTTTTTCCTCTCCCCCAGTTTTTAGCGTAATTCCGATGAAGAAAACCTTAGCCGCTTGTTCCCCTTTGCTCTATGAATATGACTTGAACAGGCATAGGATCTACTTGGGTATGCATGCCTTTTAATTGGGCTTTACGAGGTTCCTTTTCAACTCTAATTCATCTTCCACATGGGTCTCAGTCAATCAAACAAAAAAAGAAGGGGGGTGGGTCGGGGGGGGGGTGGAATCATGCTGAATATATATTATTTCACTGCATAGTCTTCAATTGTTTTATTGACCAATTTTACTGCATAATCCCATTAAAATCTGTACATTGTTGTAGATGAAATTTTCCATTTTGTCGAGAAACAAAGAAAATTGTGATATTAACTCCATATGCTGAAGATATGGAGATTCAAATTCAAGCGGCAAATGATTATTACAAAGCAATTAACATAACTCGATTGTCGAAGAAAGGTTGCAGTGATGTCTTCGTTGTTGTGCAATCCGAAATTTGATTCATCGGAATTATATTCCATACTTTTCTTTTACGAAGATTACATGTAATTGTATCAATTTCTAATATCCTAAGCTAATGCAACACAAAATAATTCCATTTATTTCATTTTGCTTCTCACAGATGATTGCTACTCTATTAAGACCTATCATATAAATACTTAAAAAACTTTGTTGTGAAAAAAAAAATTATAAATTAAAGTAAGCAACTTTCAAAGGTTGCATTGTAAATAGCAACATTTAGAGAAGATGACTGACGACTTTAAAAAAACAAGATCACTTTGTTTATACCAACATCACATATCATACTAAAACATTTTCTAAAATGGAAATAAATTTCAAAATCTAAACTTTGAGGTAACTAATTACCAAGAGATGTGTAGGTTGCTAGATTTTGAGTTTGAGAAGTCATCGGATGGTATTCTTGATCCCCGCAGTTAAATTGTATTGAAGTTTAAAATTCCGAAAATGAATATGTCTCCGGCCGAAATAAGAGAAAGTGAAGAAAAAGGTCATGCCATGCTATTTATGATCAAATTCTTGGAAGGAAGCAACTATGGTCATTATATTTAATAGTTTTGTTTAAGAATTAATTTGTTATAATAAAAATGTAATTTTTTTGGTTAATTAAATAATTAATGATGTAATGTTTATGTAATTGATAAATAATTAGATGTGTGATTTTGATGTTGTAATATAAGTTGGTGAGATCGAAGAAAATAAGCAAAAGTTGACAAATTTGGA